TTTTGCCATTGGAGATACGTTCTGCATCTTATATATCATGCTATTTTTCCTCCCAAGATATTCAATCGATCAGCGAACGATTCAGTTTTCAGAAGTCGAAATAGATTATCCTTCCTAACTCGAGCGCTTTTCAGAAACTTCTCTTTGATTGTCTCATTTTCTCGAGTTAGAATTTTTCAAAACAAAGTCATATTTCCTGGATCATTAATCATGAAATCCTTCTTTCCGAGTTTTCTTACGTTCCCAGAACTTTCAAGGAAAATTCGGAGGCGGAGTGCATAAAGCAATTGTTGCAACAGTCATGCCATTATACAGCGCATCCGAGAATGATCTTATTATTCTAAATATTAATAACAAAAAAATAAATTAGAAATGAAATAGAATTTGCAGTAAAAGAATGATGAAATTTATTAGTTTCTTTCATAGTTCCTTCATTGTACCTCCACAAGAGGTCCTTTAGTAGAGCGAAGAATGCTAGGTTTGTGCTCAACTTTGAGCTAAGCGTTTCTTAGCATTTTCCATGCAACAGTGAGGATTGCTGATTATATCCTTTCCTTTGAAATGGAAATATCAGTAACATATATTTTACAAACAATATTTCCCAAATTGTCTTTTCGTGTTTTTATGATTGAATGTTTACAACTTTTAAATTCCTAGTGTGTTTTTAACCCTCTGGGTGGTTCGTCTCCCTTGTAAAGCGATTTAAGACTCTTTATCGGTTTTAAAAATGTGCCTTCCTCCCAAAAGAAGATATTGCGAAAGCGCAGCAGATCCAGTCTCTGCCCCCTTCTGAACTATGGACAATCAGCAACCCCCGTGGATGGACTAACCACAAGAATCAGTTCTATTCAGCTTGGAACCTATTCAAATTAGGCTTTACCAGGTTTTAGAGACAGTTCATAATGGAAGTAAAAATGCGTGCAGACCGATTAAGGCGTGTTTCCGACCACACGTTGAAATACGTGTATTCCGCTTATGGGGTAGTCTAAGGTCAACGTAAAAATACGTGTGAAACGCTCAGAGGGTTAATAGTTTTGTGATTGAGGGTATTCAACTTTTTAACCCTCAATGTTTTTTCAAACTTTTTCAGATTTATTCATTTTAATTCTTAAATCTTTAACGTAATTTTTTGCTATTAAGACAACTGCATATAGCTTTTAATATCTTAGAGTGCCTCTTAATGTCTCTGTGACTGTGTGTCTTCAACTTTTAAATTACTTATTAATGTGTAAATTTTTTTATTGTTTAATGATTATGACTTTTATATTCTTACCATATTTTTAATGTTTTTATAAAGACTGTATACAGAATTTGATTTTCCGATAGGTGTTTACTATCTTTAGTATTTAGGAGTGTTTGATGCTCATTTTTTACACCGCTGTAACCCTCCCGCACCAAGCGAGGCGGTCTCGGGCGGTCTAAAAATTTCCTCTTAACAGCGGCGAAGGACGGTCTGAGGCGGCTGGCTTCTTTTGAGGGGAGGACTGTAACAAGCAATTCTGTAATTTTTTAGTGATCCTTAATAAACGTGGCGTCTTCATACTCTCCCAACCGCTCAGTGGCCGCAATGGTTACAGGCACGGGGGTATGAGACGGTGTTTTAGTCCTAGTTCTAGTGCCTGATGAAGTCGCGGCCGCCTGTCATTCAAGTAGACCCGGATGCTAAGGCAGGGTGGGGTGATGGCTTCTTGTGATTTATAACGAAAAAGTAACTCCCTTTTGAAGCATCGCTTGTATTACTTATAAGACAAAGTGTAATAGCAAATACAGTGTGACCGTGAAAGATCTCTATTATTCCAAACATTAATAATAAAAATACTGAAAAAGGTGAAATGAAATACAGTTTGTCGAAACGAAATGTAGAAATCCAACGGATTTTTTTAAAAGCGCTTTCATCGTACCTTTGCACGTTCATATTCTATATGTCTGGAAAGTTTTATCGACATAACGTTAGGATATGGGGGTTTGAAAACATTTCAATCGAACATGAACGAGACAACCTCGTACCCGTTTGGGTGTGGTCTTCTACACGACGCCGTAATCCGGATCTAGTCTTTGTGGATCAGTTTAGTTATATTAACGACCCGTTTTAATACAACACGAGGGCCATTTTGGGATTTAGCCTCCTCATTTTGATCCGCGGTCAGATGACAAGGACGTCACCTGAGCTGGCATCCCCCTCTCCAAGCTTTCTCGGGTTGTTTCGAGTCTGGGACCATGCGGGTACGAAGCCGGCACCTTACGTCTAGGCCACCGTGGCCTCTCAGTCTTTCTGGAATAGGCGATTTACTGTTATGTGTTCCGGGATCTGCTTGAGTTGCAAGTTCTTTCAAAATTGAAACATTTGTAGCCAAATATTTTATTTCAGCATGATGGTTCTCCACCTTACTTGGACACATCCTGTACGTGAATTACTTGATAAAGTGTTTCCCGAACAATGGATTGATCTTTGAAAACTAATACTTTAGTTTCTGACATAACTGCACTCAATTTCTTCTTGTGGGGTTATTTATTTATTTACCTCTTTAATCCCGAGGCGGCTTTTTTCATCTAGCTTCTTTAAAACCGGGACTTTTTGGGAAGAATCGATATGAATTGGACTTTTCCAACCTAGGCGGTCATTTACCCCAGCCCCTGCTATAACCTTCCCATAAGGCGCACGGATATGGGCTGTGGTTAGCAAGGATAATTGGAACCCCCCTCGCGTATCTCCTAAACGATCTCAGAACCTCACCTTCAAAGAAATCGTCCCCGGGTGGCAAAAAACCAAGCCAGAAGTGGGATTCGAACCCACGCCCACATCCGTGGACCAGAACACTCAACTCTCCGGCAGAGAAATGCTACTCTTGAGTCTGGCGCCTTAGACCGCTCGGCCATTCTAACACTCATCTGGAACTGTGGTCCCGCATAATAGACCCCATTACGAGCGGATACTGCAACGATCCCCAGTTTTACAAGGGTACGACCCGTCATCGAAGATGGGTCCTAAAAGCCACACCACCATTACTGTACCAATCAGGGAAGCAAGAACCAGCTAATTTATCCCGAAGCTTCTCATCCGTGAATTCGCGGTGCCCACCGGTGGGCTTTTCGTTGTGAAAAACAGGAAGAAATTCCTACCTGCCGAAGCATGCGGAAGAAAAAAAATTTGACCAGCAATAAAGTGCTCTATAAAGACTCAATCGTGATAATGAAATACTCTCTATCATGAATTTAGAATACGAGAACGCGTTCACTAAAAGTATACAAAGCCAACAACCTACATCCACCATCTGACAGGAAAACCTAAAGACCTATTTATTTTCTTTCATTTTTTTAAATACTGTAACTCACTAGTCCACAATTTTCTGTCCTATATTACGAGTGGTCCTCTAATCATGTCCTTCAACTCAGAATATGTTACATAAGATGCGGATTACCATAACAACATTTTAACACTATTATTTATATGTATCCAAGCACTATTCCAGATTTTGGCTGTAAAGAAGACAAAGCGGGAGTATCGTAATACTCAGAATATTCGATCTTGAAATTCGATGAAACTCCGTATTTTAGATGTCATTGTCTCAACATTTTTTAATACGAGGTCTGGCCAGAAAATTACCGGATTACTGCTTTCAAACTTTTTATTTTTAATTTTTCACGATTTTAATATTATCACCTTCTATGTCTTCCTCAATCCCTACATCGCTCCATACAATTTTTATGCTATTCGAAGCACTAAGTCAGGCAGTTGCCTGAAAATCCCTTCATCACCTCCGTCTCTGTTCTTTCGCTGTTGCCTTTCTTCGCTTAACAAGCAACACCGCCTATCTCAATTTTTTGAAATTTCAAAGAGGAAAATTCAAATGAATTTTTCGCAACCAATAACGAATATTTCTGAATTTTTTTAAGATCTACTATGAACATGAGGCCACATGTTCCAACCAGACGTGAAAAAAATTCAGAAATATTCGTTATTGGTTGCGAAAAATTCATTTGAATTTTCCTCTTTGAAATTTCAAAAAATTGAGATAGGCGGTGTTGCTTGTTAAGCGAAGCCATGTTACCTTGAGAACACGATAACTAGAGTCATTGTAACTGTATTTGAAATTGGATTGGATTGGAACTGGTGAATGATATATTATAAAAGAGCTAAAATCATGGCCTAATTCATAGATGGGCCATACAGCTGAAAGAGTGTAGAAATGGATAGGGTTGAAATGTTCATTCCCCATGACTCTCTTACTATTGGAGATAGAAAGATCATTCAAATTAAGTAAATTATTGCTTCGTCGTCACTAACAACTTTTATGCTGGTATTTTTCGATAGTTGCAATTACTTAGAAGTTATTAGGGGAAATGTGATTTTCAACCCTTTACTTCGATTGCTTGTGAACCTATGAGCGTGACATCTCTTTTGGAAGATCACATCTCTACATCTCTTTTTCTTCCGACCATTTTCATCCACATAATCCCAATAATTATGAAAACAGAGGAGTAAATGGCGAAGAGAGATGAAATTTGGTTTTCCTCATCTCAAGGAATTTATCTTCATGGTCAACTGGCAGATAGATTTTATTTTGTTTTTAAAAAGAAATCATATAAGAGTAATTCTTGATGAAGTAGTGAGAAGAATGTTAAAAAAGTGCATTTTTAAGTTTTATTTTATATTTATGGATATATTTTATAAAGCTATCCATAATTCACATAAGCTACAAAGTGCAGTTGTGCATCGGAATATTTCGACACAATATTGTTTTGAAAAATTTTAGATAATTTTAATTAACCAGTAAAAGCTTTAGTTTGCTCTAATATCTAATTAATTGGTACCTTTTATTGCGGGAATTTTTTGTCATTTAGATTAAACTAAGTGTCCATAGAACAGTGAGTGCCATTAAGATGTTTATTAATTCAAAATGGTTTTTGAGTCGAACTATAACGTCTTTAAATGACTTAATTATAATTTATAAGTTTATAACTGCAATGGCTTAATGCACTTATGATAAAAGTGAAAGCAATTAAATGATCAAACAATCTTATTGTTACAAAGTTGTAAAGTTGTTTCCCTGATATGCTATTATTGGTGACCATTTTGGAAACTTGGCAATTATTTTGGCGGCAAAAGTAATCTTCTAGAAAATGCATGAACTGTGGTCCTATCTCTACTAGGGGCGGGAAATATGAAGAAACTTCTAGAGATTACTTTGTAACGTCACTTTCTGTTGGAAAAGACATAAAAGCAAGCTCTCAAACCAAAAGTCAGTCAGTTGGAATTTGATGAGCAGTGCAAGCTGATGAGCTAATAAGACATTGGTCGCTGTTGAAAGTGCTGTGACTGAGATTTAGTGGTGATCACTTGTTAATTTATACAAGTGCTGTTCAGTTTTGTGACCTGTGCTTAGAGTTTTGCTAAACATCTTCGTGGATAAAAAATTTATTTTTTTATCCTGCTTGTTGGATTACATTCGCGTACACCCACCAGAGGATTTTTGTAACAATATTCTCTGGTTAAATTTCAAAAATGTTTGCTAAGTTCTAAGTTGTTTTCTATATTCTAACGAAAATTGTCCTGTGGGTATACGTTGAAAACAGTTCAACAAACTAGTAACGGAGGAACGATGCTTTATTCACGAACACTCCTGAGAACACGAACACAGGAAACACACAGCAATTACGCAAATTGGCAGAACAAACAGACAGCAAATCACAGATAAGAGTAGAAATAGCACGAACAATACCGCTCGGCGTCTAACAGCTTACTATCTAGCGCAGCGGATGTTCGGCGTCTAACAGCTTACTATTTCGCGCAGCGGATGCTCGGCCTCTAACAGTTTACTATCTCGCGCAGCGGATGCTCGGCGTCTAACAGCTTACTATCTAGAGCAGCGGATGCTCGGCCTCTAACAGATCACTATCTCGCGCAGCGGATGCTCGGCGTCTAACAGCTCACCATCTCGCGCAGCGGATGCTCGGCCTCTAACAGCTTACTACCTCGCGCAGCGTATAAAACTCCAAAGAGAGATTTCAAAGACGTTCGCAGTCCAAAGGCGATCCCAATCGATCAACACGTTCAAAGTCGATTAACAAACACTCTTACTCCCTGATCCGAGCACGGCCTTATAGTCTCTCTGACAGGCCGTGACGCCACATGGAATCATCTGGATAAATCCGGATAACGGCCCCTAAGACAGATATCGTGAAATTTCTAGCATTTTTGAGGTCCCATATTTCATAGCCAAAGTCGCCAAATGTATCCCCAATTCGGCAAAATGGTAGCCAAGGTCAGGAGTCCAGGCCTGGCTGCTGCCGGGCATTCCATACTTACCTCTGTAAAACTCTCTTCCCAACCATAAGACTAGCATTGCTGGGAAGCGACTTACAAGTTCGTAGCAATATTACAAATAGTTTCATATTTGTAATATTATTTACTATTTCAGTTATTTATAGAGTTTCTCAACCATACTTTCAATTTTAAAAAATTATAATTATATTATTAACTATATTTATTTAGGGATTATATTTTATATAAATACAAATGCAATTCTAAAAACATCTTCTTTTGCATCTAGAGGCATTGCCTCTTTGCAGATAGTGGTGCATCGTTTCATATATGCTTGAAGTTTTTGAACTCGTAAACTTCAGCATTTCTTCGCCTTTTCAGAATAGTCCACTACCTTTCTGATCTTAAGTTTGAGTTAGAGAACAAGACATTTTGTTGAAGAGCCTACTAGGAATTATTTATTGAATGAAAAATATGGCGCTGACTCAGATTTCTTATTTCTTAGAAGGTGAAAAAATTTGACGTGTTTCGAAGAATTCTGATATTTTTTCTCTCCAATTTTACTGTTTTTTTGGAGACATTGCAAATTCTATTTCTTTTCTGCAATGTTTCATATTTCGCTCCCGGCCTTTGATGCGTATGCGTAGGATTTTTAATAAGAATTTTATGTTTACTTGAGAAAAAAGTTGAGACTGAATAATAGACTTCTTTGCTTTAATAAACTCGTTCAGCTTTTAAAAAAGACATTTTTTGAACCTCATTTTTATGTTAATAAAGAGATTATTGATTAAGTTCAAAAATATATTCAGACATTTTTCTCCTTCAAATAATTCCGTCTAAATCAATAAAAATTTCAATTATGGCTTTTTACTTATCCAAAATTGCTGAAATAAATGCCCTGCAATATCGGCTGATAATTTAATGTACTGCTCATTTCTTCCTCATTTTGAAAAAAAATTTCCATCTTCATTAAATAAATATAAGACACTTTAAAAGCCTCGAAAGCTTCATTAAATATATATAAGATACCAAAAAACTTCGAAAGCTTCATTAAATAAATATAAGATACTTAAAAAACACCGAATTTAATATTTAAAAAGAGAATACTAGATCTTGTAATGTATATAAAAGAGTAGCGATGAAAAACTGTTATCTAAAAATAACAGTTTTTCTGGAGATTCTAACGTTGTAGTACTTTTTAATATTCTATAACATTTTATTTTTGAACATTAAAAATTTTTTTAAATATCTTCTCATTGCCAGACTTAACTGAAACAGCTTTATCGGTTGGCCGCTACTATGCTTGTTATTATATATAGTAGATTATGTTTGATATTCAATTACTACTCACTTATAAGTCATATTGCATCCTGTTGCGTATGGTGCGAATTTGGTTGGTTGTTTCGAACTATGTGAAAACCAACGTTAATTCGGTTTATGTAATAATAATTATATGTTCTATATATATATATATATATATATATATATATTCTAGTTCAAATTATAGTTAGCTCATTATATTCACAAGTTCAAAGAAGATTCTCCATTCTATAGATGTGCACAACAAATACCACATCCCATACAACATTTCAGAGTTTCTAGTAAAGCCAACTAATGCTTG